CAAAAAGTAGAACCTTTTCATGATCTTGCCTGTCAGGTAAGTCCTTCTCAAAGACAATGTCGTACAAACGTTTCTGATAAACTTTAGCTGCATCAGACTTTTTTGTTGCACCAATACTTTTTTTAAATTCCAGTAACTTCTTATACGTTGTTGCCCAATTTCCAACTTCTTTTATCTTATCACCGTGAATAGCTGTTCGGATTAATTCAGAAACCTAAAAAATGTTGCTGTCGCATACGATTTATATCAAAACCGCTCAGCCAAAAAAAAGACATATTGAAATGTACCACAAAATTTGGCTGAAAACGATTTATAATTCTTTTCTGGTTAAAAAAAAAAATGTTTCTTGTTTTCTAAAACGTTCTTATAATAAAAAAATTTATACTTTTTGAACTGGTGTTTTTTGTGGTGGTGAAACAATTTCATTCAACGATACTAGTTTTTTGATCTGCAAGAGTTCTGTGTTATTGATAAGCAATTTTCAATTTTATGGATTTGAGGAATTATTATAGTTAGCAAAGAAAATGCTAATTTTAAGCAAAAAATTACTTTGATTGTTGCAAAAGTTTGTTGAAAAACAAGAAAAGCTCAATATTTAGATTTTTTAGTAAGAAGCAATGAGTTGATTACCTGAATTTTATGCTTGTTTGAAATTGGTATCTCTGTGACACTTCTGTTGTATTTTGGTAGCAGAAGTGATTTGAAGATCTTTAAAGAGCCGGAAATTTTAGTTTTATGAGGAGGATAAGCAAATTTTAAAACTTCTCTCTTAGTCGGTTTTCGATGAGTGCCGACGTCAATATTGTCATCCACAGTGATAAAACTTTTTTCATACGTATCACAGAGGATGTAACCTGTTTTCGGATCATTACATCCTTCATAAAACCGATTTGCCTTTGCTCTATCTCTTGCTTCAATTAAACATTTTGCACCTTTACGTACAGATGATTTTTCACTGACTTTCCGTAAACATTTTGCCAACAGTTGTCGTTCATCTGAAAAATCAGTTAAAGCTAAAAAAAACCTGTTAATAAATTTTGTAGAAAATTTTTGAAAAAAAAATTATGCGCTACCACAAACTTTTTTTTTTTTAAATTTTAATATTATAAGACTTTTTTTAAACAATTAAAAAACTTTTGTTTAGGTATTTTTGAACAGTTAATTGTATTATAGCAATAAAAACTTAGTATACTTACTTGGCTGTAGGTGGTTTAATAACTGTTTAGCCATTTCACCAATTAGTGCTTTAATGGCATAATTGTACCAGTGCATATGTAAATTATATACTGCATCAAATGATTGCTTACCCATACGTACTTCATTAAACTTTTTGTATGCATTGTATTCAAATGTTTTTGTTCTTTTTGATTTTACTAAAAATAAAAAAAAAAAAAACAACAAGTGTTATTAAATATATTTAGGCTTATGGTGTGTTTAAGTCAGGAAGAAAAAAAAAAAA